GTAGTTGTGGTCGTCGTTGTTGTAGTAGTAGTTGTAGTAGTAGTTGTGGTCGTCGTTGTTGTAGTAGTAGTTGTGGTCGTCGTTGTCGTAGTAGTAGTTGTGGTCGTCGTTGTTGTAGTAGTTGTAGTAGTAGTTGTGGTCGTCGTCGTTGTAGTAGTAGTTGTGCTCGTAGTAGTCGAAGCCTTAGTCGTAGTGCTCGTTGTAGTCGAGGCCTTAGTCGTAGTGCTCGTAGTAGTCGAGGCCTTAGTCGTAGTGCTCGTAGTAGTCGAAGCCTGAGTCGTAGTGCTCGTAGTAGTCGAAGTCTTAGTCGTAGTGCTCGTAGTAGTCGAAGCCTTAGTCGTAGTAGTAGTCGAGGCCTTAGTCGTAGTAGTAGTCGAGGCCTTAGTCGTAGTAGTAGGCGAGGCCTTAGTCGTAGTAGTAGTCGAGGCCTTAGTCGTAGTAGTAGTCGAGGCCTTAGTCGTAGTAGTAGTCGAGGCCTTAGTCGTAGTGCTCGTAGTAGTCGAGGCCATAGTCGTAGTAGTAGTCGAGGCCTTAGTCGTAGTAGTAGTCGAGGCCTTAGTCGTAGTGCTCGTAGTAGTCGAAGCCTTAGTCGTAGTGCTCGTAGTAGTCGAGGCCATAGTCGTAGTAGTAGTCGAGGCCTTAGTCGTAGTAGTAGTCGAAGCCTTAGTCGTAGTGCTCGTAGTAGTCGAAGCCTGAGTCGTAGTGCTCGTAGTCGAAGAGACCCGAGTCGTAGTGCTCGTAGTACTCGAAGAGACCTGAGTCGTAGTTCTCGTAGTAGTCGAAGCCTGAGTCGTAGTTCTCGTAGTCGTCGAAGCCTGAGTCGTAGTGCTCGTAGTAGTCGAAGCCTGAGTCGTAGTGATCGTAGTAGTCGAAGCCTGAGTCGTAGTGCTCGTAGTACTCGAAGAGACCTGAGTCGTAGTTCTCGTAGTAGTCGAAGCCTGAGTCGTAGTTCTCGTAGTCGTCGAAGCCTGAGTCGTAGTGCTCGTAGTAGTCGAAGCCTGAGTCGTAGTGCTCGTAGTAGTTGAAGCCTTAGTCGTAGTGCTCGTAGTAGTCGAAGAGACCTGAGTCGTAGTGCTCGTAGTAGTCGAAGAGACCTGAGTCGTAGTGCTCGTAGTAGTCGAAGAGACCTGAGTCGTAGTGCTCGTAGTAGTAGAGGCTACCGATGTGGTAGTCGAAATTATGGTCGGAGAGGTGGTAGTCGTAGATGAACCGGTTGACACGTACAGAACACGAGTCACATCAGAATCCAACATACGTTGGCGCTCACTATAATCCTTGCTGATAGCATCTACTCTACGTTCATAACTTTGTCTAGAAATATCTAAGTCCACAGCCGAGGCCTCATGGACGGTCCCCATGCTATTAGGAACCGATGAAGAAGTAGAGAAATCACAATTGTTGTAAGTAGGCCCAAGGTCCTTCGGCGCAACTTGATCCACTCCATAGGTCTTCACGGCTCCGCATGTCAGAGAGAGCAGAGAGAAAAGAGACAGCACGGTATGGGCGCGGGCAACCATCATAGGAGAGGGTAAAATTGAGGAACTGAAGAACAGCAAAAGCTCAACAAGCTGAAAGAATTATTAGAAATTGATCATTGATGGACGAGGCATGATGAGAGAGGGCGTAGAGCGAGCACAACGCATTGAAACGACTGTAGATATCTCACCAAGCGTATGCGTGCAAAAACTTTGTGACACTCTCCTCGGTGCGGAGAGGCGACCCGAAGCTGAGCATTCACTTACCATCACAACGCAAAGGTTTTAGTGGTAATCAACTGAGAATAGAACTTCAACGAATATGACGATATGATTGACCTCATGAAGGAGATACA